TGTCTGTCTGTCTGTCTGTCATGGGGCTTAATCTCAGGGCCTATATATTGTCTGTGAGCTTTTCACTTTTTCTCAGAGTTAGCACTCTACCACTTTTGGGTCACAGCTTCATGTGTGGTTTTCAGGTGGTTAACTGGAGATGAGCCTCATGGGGGCTTGGGAAGGTGGCTCAATGGTAGAGTGCTTGCCTAGTATGCATGAAACCCCAGGTTTGATTCCTTTGTACCCCATAAACAGAAAAAGCCAGAAGTAGTGCTGTGGCTCAAGTGGTAGAGTGCTAACCTTGAGCAAAAGAAGCTCAGGGACAGTGACCAGGCCCTGAGTCAAGCCCCCAGGACTAGGGAAAAAAAGAGTCTAATGGACTTTCTTGCCCAAGCTGGCTTTGAACCACAATCTTCAGATCTCAGCCTCATAAGTAGCTAGGATTACAGGTGTGAGCCACCAATGACCGGCTTACGAAATATTTGTAAAAAATATTTTGAGAAATATTTGAAGTTGTTTGTTTGTTTTTTAAACCTGATAGCGCCATAAAGAAAAAGGGAAGGCAGTAGAGAAACAAGAAAGAGTCAATACATATACAAATGATCGTTATGTGATTTGTGTTTTGTTCACATTTAATAGAAGAGTCCTCAAAAGAGTGATACAAACTGTGGCTACACTATGCCTTAATGCTACCATAGAGAAGAATGCTAATTCAGCACAGCTGTTTTTGCATTTAAGGAATTAGTTCAATTAAAAACTAAGCTGACAGTTTGATATTCCACAGGGAGCAGAAAATAATTAATAAACCTGGTCAGAGTGAATAAAGCAGAAAATTGATTTTTGCCTGAATGGAATCTGGAAATTAAGATGATTAAAGTAGGTCCCAGTTTCAATTTTCCTCAAAGACAAGTTTCACTTATAGGTAACATTTTTGGAAAATGTAACATTTCAAATATAGCTATAGGTATACTAGGAGTTTTTAGAAAAATATCTCTTCTGATAATTTTCTTAATGAGAAATAATCAAGCCAGGTGCTGTCTTACCTGTAATTGTAGCTGCTCAGGAGGCTGAGACCTGAGGATCAAGGTTCAAAGCTAGTCAAGGCAAGGAAGTCTGTGAGATTTTTTTTTCTCCAATTAACTACCCAAAAGCTAGAAGTACAGCTATGGCTCAAGTGGTAGAGCTCTAGCCTTGAGCACAAAAGCTAAGGAACAGTGCCCAGGCCCTGAGTTCAAGTCCTAGGACTCTCTCTCTCTCTTTCTCTCTCTCTCTCTCTCTCTCTCTCACACACACACACACACACACACACAAAATCTATGCAGCTTTTGCAATGGCATTATCAGTAGTCATATTTTGCTGTCCAGCTGTGAGTATGAAGCATTTGCTAAGCTTCTTTCTTATAATAGTATCTTGGCTGGGAACAGGGGGGAAAAGGATGAAATAAGACTTTTCCATTGCAAGTGACAGAAACTCTTCCCAAATTAGCTTTAGCAAAAAATAAAAATGTAAAGATGGGTTAGTGACTTAGTCTGTTTTCTGTTGCTATAACTAAATACCACAAACTTAGATAAGTTTTCCTCCTCTTCTTCCTCTTTTTCTCCCTCTTTCTCCTCCTCCTTTTTCCTTTCCACCCCTTCCTCTTCTACTTTTCCTTCTCCTATCCCTCCCCACTTCTCCTCCCTGACCCTCCTTCCCCCCCCCACCTTTGCCAGTACAGGAGATTGAACTGGACCTCTCATTCAGCTTATTTGGTTGGCTAATACTGTACCACTTAAATTCTGCTTCCAGCTTTTTTTTTTTTCCATTCATAGTGCCAAAGGCTGCTAAGTTTAAGGTTAGGTGGTTCCCTCAGTAAGATTGTCGCTGGTGTGGCCTCTTTGCTGCTCTCATGTGGCCTGGGCATTACAGGGGGAGAGCATCCTAGCTCAGGGTGTCTGCCTCAGTCTCACTGGGTTAGGATCCCACCCTGATGGCCTCATTTAATCTTAATCACCTTCCAAAGGCCCTACCTCCTAATATCACAGTCAGATTAAGTTTCTACTCTCTTAATACCTCACAGTGAGAATTAAATCTCAACACCAGTTTCAAAGAGGTCAAGCGTTCAAACCATAGCAAGAGGCATTCATTGGGTGCACCTAACCATAACACATTTGGGTGCTGTTTTCCTGCATCCTTTGAAACTCTCCCCAAGCCCTATATACATCTTGCCTGCTCAGCCAGGTGAATGTAAAAAAGGCAATTAGGATCATCTGACTGTCCCTGGACCAGTCCCTAGGACTAGGAGGTTTTCCAGTCAGACTGGATCAGTTGCCCATCTTATATGTATGTAGTGGAGCAACAGGCTCTACCCTTACCTAATCCAAGGGAATAGGGAGGGGATATTGGAGACAAAACAACAGACATCCATGACTTGACTAAAGCAAGAGGACATTATTTTTGTACCCCTTCCTCCTGGCCTCTTCTCATTGCCAATTCATTATAAGCCCTTCCACTTGGGACCACTCCTCTTAAATGTTTTCATTATTCGATTATTACCCTTACAGAATTTTTGTCCTTATTTTTACAGCTAGTTCACAGGCATCCTGAAGTCCAAGGCCCTGTGCAGATGTTTTTAACATCTACCAGAATCCCTGGCAGAAATACCTTGCACACAGCAAGTGTCAGGATTGCAGATTGGACAACGAAGCTTTTTCTTACTAGGAGCTAACACATTCAACCCAGCAGCAGTCCCTAGACCCCAGGACAGTCATGGTTCAGAACGTTAAATGGGGAAAGAGACTTCCTGCTGTTAACTTGCATTCACAGTGAGCTAGTTTAGCTACCACTAATCATTGGGTGTTTTTGTCTTTTCTAATTAAATCAGCATGGGCCAGTTGTTATATTTATTTATTTATTTTTGCAGCACAGCAGATATGTCCCAGCAGAGTTCAAACAAATACACCCCCTTCACTTACCCCCATCAAGGCTTGCCCTTAATCTTCTGAATCTCCACCTTCTGAGTAGCTAGAGTTGCGCCACTGGCACCTGGCTTGTGTACCTATTTATTTTTAAGTTTGTGTCTTCCACTTACTAACTGGGGATGGCTTTTATGTCTTTAAAAACTATTTTTACAGACATAACAGTGGCTGGCTAGGTAGAAAAATCAGTTTATTTCACCAGGTACACATCATTTCTCATTTACTTCCAATCTTTCACTTTTGGACATGGTGTTACAGTGAATATCTATTGCTAAGTATTTGTGCACATTGCTTCTTAGGATGAATGTCTAAAAGTAGAATGGCTCAAAATAATAAATATATGGTGGTTTTCACCCACCTTGAAAGCTAGTGATGTAGCCCAGTGTCAAAGTACTTGCCTAGCATGCATGAATTCATATGTTTATTTCTGATTCATATGTTTAGTTGTGAAAGACAAATAAAGCCTTAAAATATATCAAACATTAGTATAAACTTGAAAAAAAAATGTTCTACAGCGTGAAGGCCCGGGACCAGGTGAATATAACTTAAAAATACCTTCAGCAAGCTTCATTACATCTTCTTTTCGATCCAAGGTACCACGATTCTTGCCCAGCTGTTCTGTAAGTATTCTGAAAGAAGTGGCGTAGGTGTAGGTCCTATAACTCCACCTCCTGTGGGTGGGCGAGGCAAGGTGAGGAAACTCATATGGTGTGTCAAGGCAGCTCCAGTGTCTAGAAGTCCTTGGTTAGCTTCAGACTCAGGGTGACCCAAGGCTTTGAAAACTGGCTGGATCATGAGTCAGTAGAAGACAGATATTGCAAGAATTGCCTTTGCTATTCTGACCTGGCTGCTTTGAGTAGACACCGTTCACGGATTGAGGTGAGCATGCTTGCATAGCTGCCTCCAGCCATTCAGAACTGCTATTCCTCATGTAGATGTGTGATTTCTGGGAACCCACGGAATCAAGTGGAACCATTAACGCATGAGCAAGCATCACACCCAGGACTCAGGAAAGCACACAGAAGGCAGCAAGAGGCTCAAGTCCACAGAGATTTACAAACAAGATAGGCTCTTCTGGGGGGATATAGTGCCTCAAAAGCTCCAAGAAGACCAAAAACGATGATAAAGTAGTACCTCTTAAAAGTTTTTTTTTTTTTTCCATCTTAGAGCTTGAATTCAGGGCCGAGGTGTTGTCCCTGAGCCTCTTAATGCTTAAGGCTAGCACTCTACCCACTTGAGTTACAACACCACTTCTGGCTTTTTCTGAGTAGTTTATTAGAAATAAGAGTCTCATGGACTTTACTGGCTGGGCTGGCTTTGAACTGTGATCCTCATATCTCAGCCTCCTGAGTAGCTAGGATTACAAGAGTGAGCCACCGGTGCCTGGCTTAAAATATTTTTAAGACAGGCATTACAGGTATGCCCTAAATACCTGTAATTCCAGGTACATGGGAGGCAGAGATAGGAGGATTATGTGCCAAAGCAAGACTCTTTTTTTTTTTCTTTGCCGGTCATGGGGCCTGAACTCTGAGTCTGGGCGCTGTCCCTCAGCTCTTCAGCTCAAGGCTAGCGCTCTACCACTGGAGCCACAGTGCCAGTTCCGGCTTTTTCTACTTATGTGGTGCTAAGGAATCGAACCCAGGGCCTCATGCTTGCAAGGCATGCACTCTACCGCTGAGCTACCTTCCCAGCCCCTAATGCAAGACCCTTATCTGGAAACAAAACAAAACAAAAAAACTTAAGTGAAAAGGGTTGACAAGGCATAGTTCAAGAGGCAGAGCACTTGCCTAGCAAGTGTGAGGCCCTGAGTTCCAACCTAGTATGGTCAAAAAGGGAAAGAAATAAAAAGTTTTTTTGATGCCAATAGACTTTTAATATCCACAACTTCATACTTTCAGTCTGCATCCAGTCTGAAAGATGCTGAGACTCAGTGATCTGTGGACTCATTTGAGGTAGTTAGGGGAAAAAAGATACAAATTTTGCCTGTAAGAAAATGTGCTCTCATCAGGAGTCAAGAATGTGGAAAAATGGGGCTGGGAAGGTGGCTCAGTGGTAGAGCGCTTGCCTTGCATGCATGAGGCCCTGGGTTCGATTCCTCAGCACCACATATGCAAAAAGAAAAAAGCTGGAAGTGGCGCTGTGGCTCAAGTGGTAGAGTGCTAGCCTTGAGCTGAAGAGCTGAGGGACAGAGTCCAGGCCCAGAGTTCAGGCCCCACGACCGGACCCAAAAAAACAAAAAAAGAACGTGGAAAGAGAATTGGGGGCAGTGGGTAGTTAAGGGCTCATGTGGAGCCCCAGGCCATGGCTCTCAGAATCTCTGCTCCAGAGCATCTGGACTGCAGAGTTGAGATCATGGGATCTGTATGTGATGGAGCACTGTGAAGGTCCAGGCTGGTAAAACTGGAGGCAGACTGATAACAAAAAGCCCAAGGATCCTCACACCTTAGTGACACCACACCTTAACGACACCACTGCCATGAAGAAACAGATGCTTGCCAAAGCCCACAGGACTGAGCATTCTTAGGAAGACTGCATGGTACTAACCAAACTTCCAGGAAACTGAGCAAGATGCCAAAAAGTGCATTATTAAATTTGTAAGCATCCATCAAGGATGACCTGGTGTTTGGGGTTGCTGCTCTTATAGGAAATTTTCATGGCAGCCAAGGACAAACCAGAAAGGTCACTTGGTGACCAGAAAATTGGGATTAGGAGGTTGAGCTGGATGTTCTTAAGATGACCACGACCACACCCAAACAAGCAGCCTCTAGGCCCTTTAAGCCTCCTTTTCCGTGGGCTGGCCCTCCAAGACTGTTACATCTTCAATAATAGCATTAATACAGTCTTCTACTTCCTTTGACACGTGGCCAGGACTTGATTAGATTTCCAGGCTACTCCTTTGCTTTTGGCAAGCCAAACATCCTGTGTTTAAAGCAGCTTTTGCAGGCAGTGATGACGTCTGCCCAGGCTGACTGCTCTGCTCCACTGGGTAACAGTTTCTTCTGTCTCCTGCAGAGACAGCAAGTCAAGGTAGAGCAGACACGATCAGTAACCAGAATAGCCGATAACAATGTGTGGAAGGCTGTGGCTGACCTGGGAGAGTACTGTGTATTGTGAGCCTGACACTGTCATTAACAGACATGCACTCTTCCTTGATTGGGGGATGCATTCAGCCATTGGTAGGGAGGCTAGGGCTTGAACCCAGGCCTGCCACACTCTGAAACCCTTGTCTTTGACCAAACTCCTTTGGCTTTAGGCCAGGTGCTGGTGAATCATGACTATAATCCTAGCCATTCAGGAGGCTGAAAATTTAGGATTGTGATTTGAAGCCAGCCCAGGCAGGAAACTCTGTGAGGGTCTTATCTCCAGTTAACCAGTAAAATGCTGGAAGTGGAGCTATGACTCAATTAGTAGAACATGAGCCTTGAGAAAAAAAAAGAAAAAGAAAATAAGGCCAGGGCAGTGCCCAGGCCCTGAGTCCAAGCCCAGTACCAGCACCAAAAATTAAATAAATAAAAACAAAAATAAAAAAGCCTTTTTTTTGGGGGGGGGTCCGGTCATGGGGCCTGAACTCAGAGTCTGGGCGCTGTCCCTCAGCTCTTCAGCTCAAGGCTAGCGCTCTACCACTTGAGCCACAGCGCCACTTCCGGCTTTTTTCTTTTTGCTTATGTGGAGCTGAGGAATCGAACCCAGGGCCTCAGTCATGCAAGGCACGCGCTCTACCACTGAGCCACCTTCCCAGCCCCTAAAAAGGCCTTCTAAGTGTAAAGAATGCATATGTGCCTACCGCATAGGCATAAGAAATGGTGATGTCACTCTGTGATGAGGTGACAAGAACATCTATACTTTATTGCTCCAGAGAGAAGCTTTGTTTAAATAATCCACACCCTATTCTGTTCAAACTTTTCAGCTAAATGAAAGCATAACATTTAAATGTGACTCCTTTGAGAATGCTTCTGACCCTGGTATCCACAGACTGGTCTGAGAAATACATCCCCTGCCACACTGGGTCAGGGACAGGAGTAGGGCAGGGGCTGGGCTGGGTGTCAGTTCAGCTTTGGAGAGCTGCCAGAAGCAGGATTGGATCTCTGCAGCCACTTGCTGCTGGGTCAGCTGGAGGCGGAGGGCATATTTGGGAGGGAGCGGCTTGTGGGAGAAAGTAAGCTGTGGGGGTGGCCTTCTCCAGAGGTGCCTTGGATTTTGGCGTCATTATCTCACTGGTCTCTGTTTCTATTTCAGAGAACCCCAGGCCCAGGAGCCTACACAGCTTCCGATCAGTTCCCCAAACAGTCCCCAACCATAGCCAAAATGGGCCTAGAACACGGCCTCTTCTTCAACAACACAATTGGTTTATAAAATAAAACCACGTTGGTATTAAGCTACTTGGGAGTTTTAGTAAGTTCTTTTGTTTAGAATGTTATTTTGTCTGTTCCTTAGGGGATAGTTGACCATAGAAACACAATCGATTGGGTGACCATCTTGCCCACTTTTGTGGAATAGGCCCAGCATAATTACTAGTTAACCTTCAAAAGTGTCCTGGTTTGAGCAATCAGTCTGCTTGTTTTCTTGAGTTTGTCTGAGTGACGGGGCCCAGGCTGCCCCTGCAGCAGCACTGATAGCCGCTGTGCCCAGGCTATCCACTATGTGGCCTTGGTTTCTCCAGTTCTATGATCAGGTCCCCATGAATACTTTGTTGGGTCATCGGCATTAAAGTAGGGTCATGTGGGGCTTGACAGGACTCCCAAGAACAGTATGGATTCAATCTGATGAGTACAGTTACCTGCCAAATAACGTTCTGGTCAGTGACAGACTGTATACAACAGTGTTCCCTGAAGAATAAGATGGAGCAGAAATCCCCCCACTGTCTAGTGAGGAGCTAGCTTGTGATAACAAGCCTGCTGCACTGCCAGTCTTGTGCAAGTATGGCATATACAGCTTGGCAATATTCACATACAACTCGGTTTATCCCTCCCCCCGCCCCCTGCTCTCCTTTTTTCCTTTTTGTTTTTAAATAAGTTTTTTTTTGTGTGTGTGAAAATACTGTACAGAGGGGTTACAATCACACGAGCAAGGTAATGAGTGCATTTCTTGTCATGCATTGAAGTCAGGGCCTTACACTAGGCTGGTGCTCTACCACTTGAGCCATGCCTCCAATTCAGCTTTTGGCTAGTTATTCTGGAGATGGAGTCCAGTGAGCTAGTCTGCCTGGACTGTCCTCAAATCTTGATCTTCCAGGTTTCAGCCTCCTGAGTTGCTAGAATTATAAGATGGGAGCCACTGGCACGTAGCTTAGTATATGTGTGTCTTATTCTATGTCTTCCCCCTCCCCTCCTGCCATCTACCAGGTACTTTGAACTTCGGTGTGTGTATGTGTGTAATTAGAGTGTCTGCCTTCTTACTAAGTTCATTGTAAAGTCAGTCTGTTACACTAGCAGCCAGCATGCCTGCTGATTCACTGTGTCTCTTGAAAAGCATCATTTTCTCTTGTCCTGATTTAATCTCATTGTGTTTATGCTTAAGCATAAACTATATGGTGTGTATATACACTAGATCACCTATACTATATAGATTTGTGTTTGTACATATTAACAAAACCTGTGATCATTTATCTCCACTGTTAAATGCACAGGACTGAAGTTCTCATTTCTAGTCAATGAAAATATCATTTCTAAGCCTGGTGCTGGTGGCTCACGCCTGTAATCCTAGCTACTCAGGAAGCTGAGATCTGAGAATCACGCTTCAAAGACAGCCCCGGAGTGACAATGTGGTCAGACACCTTGTAGTCATATATTGTTTTGTAGAATGGGAACTTCTTTGTACAATTAAAGATTTAAAAAAAAAAAAAAAGCCTGGGCAGGTAAGTCCGTGAGACTCATCTCTAATTAATCACCAGAAAACCAAAAGTGGAGCTCTGGCTCAAAGTGGGAGAGCACTAACCTTGAGAAGAAAAGCTCAGGGAGAGTGCCCAGGCCCTGAGTTCAAGCCCCATGACTAGGGGATGGGGATGAGGGGGGGAAGGCTGAAGGGTGGGTGCGTGGGTATTGCTGGAGAGAAGCCTGTGAGGGCTGTCAGGAGGCTGCACAATGGAAGTCCTTTTCCATCCACGAGCATCAGTAGGCAGCTAAGGTGCACGGAAGCAGGGCTCAGCAGAGGTGGAGAGCCCAGAGTTGGCAATGAGTAACTTTAACTAATTAAAATAATTAACTAATAAAACACTCATATTGTGTTAAATTTAAAAGGCAAAAAAACCGTCTCTTCTCTAGACTTATAAACACTTATTAACATGAGTCCTGAGGCAGGAAGGAATTGCTATTGCTGTTTCCCAGAATTAACTCACCTTAGAGGAAGAATCTCCCATGCATTCCTGCACAGCAGGAAGCACTCAGGTAAGTCAGCCCTGTGTGTGTGTGTGTGTGTGTGTGTGTGTGCGTGCGCGCGCGCGCGCGCGCGGCGCGCACATGTGCATAAGTAGGACCAAGCAGACACTCTAAAGAATCAGCTGTTCATTGCCTGTGATTCCAGCTACTTGGAAGTGCAGAAATTGTGTATGAAGCCAATTGGGGACAAAGGGTAGTAGCCTCGAGATCCTGTCTCAAAACCAAACATTCCCCTCCCCCCCCATAGCCTCATTTCAGGCAGGGGTGTGGCTCACTGGACAAGATAATGCTGACAAGAATAACATCTCTGAGGAAGCAGTCAGCTAGCAGGGAAAAGAGATGAACAGCAATGAATTGCTCACTCATTGAGCATTTACTATGTGCCAGGCATTGCTGTGGCCACTCCAGGTGTTATACTTAACAACCTTCATAATCATAACCCACAGAACAGGGACCTTTTATAGATATGTTACAGATATTTTATGTAATATATTTTATAGAAATGTTAACTTGCTCAGTCACACAGCCAGCAGGTCCCCTTATCTCTTGTTACTTTAGTGGGTTCTCAGTTCTTTACAATTCAAAGCACCTGAGGAAAATTTTAAAGGACAGCAGAAACTTTCCAGGCAGGGCCGTGCGAGCTGCCCCCAGGATCCTTGGCTTGGCAGCACAGAGCTACTCCCACGGGTGCTCAAGCATCAGAAGCCTGTGACTGGGTTATCATTAAGAGCTGGCAGCCCGGGCTGGAGGCTATCTCCGGCCAAGAACTATTTGTGCAATGACATCAGACTTGTGGGGGTGGGGTGGCAATACAACAATGAGCACTTTGGTACCCAAAGGGGGCTTGGGTGGCAGCGGCTGAGATTCCATTGGTGCTTGTGCCTGCAGACCAAGACTATGCTGGTAGACACAAGTGGAAGCCACGTCCTGGAAAGTGGTGGGTGGGATCTGGAAAGGTAGACGATAGGGAAGTCCCAAGTCTTGTTCCCAGACTCAAGCTGGCACCTGCGCTCTGCTGAGGGCTGGTGTAAGCACAGGAAATGCCTGGGCTCTGGAGGGCTCTACTACTCGACTTTCTGACATCTGCCGAGGAAAGTCAGCTTGGCAAAACTTTCCTCAGAAACAGGAAGGCTGAGCCATCCCATCTCCTCCATCCTTTTTATTTTGGGGTGCCACTGCTAGGGCTTGAACTCAGGGCCTGGGTACTGTACCTTAGCTCTCTGGCTCAAGACTAGTGATTGAGGGAGTGCCACTTACGCCACAACTCCACTTCTCATTGTTTGCTGGTTTAATTGGAGATGAGTCTCGTGGACTTTCCTACCTGAGCCGGCACAGGAATGAGCCACTAGTGTTGGTTCCTCTTTTCCACTCTTTTTCCCCAGACACTATACTCTGTTCTCCACTCTGTGGCCTTTAATTCTCTGAGGTCCATAAACTGGAAGGCTAGGATGTGTGTGACAAATAACTAGATAACAAATAGTCACTACATTTGTATACAACAAAAGAAGACAGTAAAAAAAAAAAAAAGCTGAATTCTAAAAGCTCTGTGAAAAGCTTGGCTGGTCAGGACCTGTGGAGACAGGGCATTGAGGGTGCCCAGCCCCACGGGCCAGGGGACCAGTCCTGAGTTTGTAAAAAGAGCTGCAGAGCATTAGTCTTCAAAGTACAAGGGCTAAAGCCCTGGGGATGCAGGTAAACTCCCAGAATTTGCATTAAAAAAAAAAAAAAAAAAGGTTCTGGCCAGGCAATGGTGACTCTCGCCTGTAATCTTAGCTACTTAGGAGGCTGAGATTTGAACACTGTAATTTGAAAGCCAGCCTGTGCAGGAAAATCCAGGAAACTTTTATCTCCAAGGAACCAGGTAAAATCCAGAAATGAAGGGCTGGGAAGATGGCTCAGTGGTAGAGCGCAAGCCTTGCATGCCTGAGGCCCTGGGTTCGATTCTTCAGCACCATATAAGCAAAAAGAAAAAAGCCAGAAGTGGCGCTGTGGCTCAAGTGGTAGAGCGCTAGCCTTGAGCTGAAGAGCTGAGGGACAGCGGCCAGGCCCAGAGTTCAGGCCCCACAACTGGACCAAAAAAAAAAACAGAAATGAAGGTTTGGCAAATGGTCGAAAAGGGGGAGGTAAGTGAAAAAGCTAAGGGATAGATAGCACTCAGGCCCCAAGTTCAAGCCGTCTAACCAGCACACACAAAAGCAAAACAACAAACATGTAACTTTATATTATTTAAAAAATTTGGGGGACAGGAGGTATGGCTCAAGTATAATGTCTGCCTAGCAAGCACAAGACCCTGAGTTCAAACTCCAATACCATTAAAAGAAAAAAAAAAACATTGGTGCATGTTTTCTGTAAGACATAGTGTACTGGTGTGAACATGTGGCCTCTCCATTCAGATGTCTGCTAAAGGCTTCTCAGCAGAGGGGACTCATCTGGACATAGTGTGAACTGATCCCCAGTCCTGGTGGTGGTCCCTCACAGCTGACAAGGCCAGTCCCTACTATGCAGATAGGAGCCTCTCCCGGCCTTTCATCTGGTCTTCCTTTCAGCAGGAGACTCAGGCCCACTTAAAGGACAGACCAGAGGCCATAACAGCCTTGCCTAGACCCCTTTGTTTCTTCTTACTACCTCCAAGACGCAGCTCTGATCTCCGCATGTTCCCCAGCTGAGAGCCAGACCCTTATTCCCAGCCCACCTACACCTCCCTCCTCCCACTGTGCTTCGAGCATGATACATCTCTCCAGAACCAGCTCAGGGCGGCTTCTCGGGGCTGAGGCTGTGAGTGGGCAGAATGAACACACTGCTTCAGACACACACTTTTATTCAGTCTGCACAGCCACTGTTGGCAGCTCAGCTCAGCTCTCTGTGGTGGAATGTTTAAAGAATGCACTGGGTGCCTTTCCGACCAAAATCTGACCACAGACACTTTGGGCACCCCAAGGCTTGCTTAGTCTTTTTCTAACAGAAAAAAAAATAGATCTCTATCAAATATATATATATATATATATTTATATATACCCATACACTTGGATAGAGACACTTCAACCAAGAGGCAAAGGATCACATGTCCTCTGTGGTTCCTTTTGGTTTGGTACCGTGGCCAGGAGGCGCGAGCTATCTGGAGACAGCTGGGGCGTGCAGTGTGGAGCCAGCGTGGCATGGAGCAGGGCTCCATCAGCCCCCACCGGCATGGGAAGCTGAGGCATGCCCTCACCCCACAAGGAGAGGCCTTGCCAAGGCCCTAACACCCCGCCTCCGGCAGACAGGGCATGGCATGGCCAAAAGGAGGGAGCAGCCTCAGTCTCCTCAGGTCTTTAACCACAGTCCCTGTGGGGGGACCCAAATGGCCAGTGAGGCTGGGGCTGCTCAGGAAAGCCAAGATAAAAACTGAGCTGTGGATATGGTATTCTAAGGACAGCAGTCCTGGAGACCACCTCCACACAGGGACCAGCATCATAGGGAAAGGCCTGAAGGCCCACAGTGGCTCGGCCCCGGTAGAAATGGCTGGCTCGGAGCCAGAGCCCATCCTGAGAGCCGCTGGCTTAAGGCTCGTGGGCACTACTTGGCCTGGGATTCAGTGTGTCTGGCCAGACACACAGAAAGGGGAAAAAAAAGTAAAAGCCAAGTGACATCCTGAGACAAAGGGGCTATGCTGGGCATTGTCTGCTGACAGCCTGCAGGAACCCAGGGTCTGTCTTCTGGGTGGTGCTTGCAGTCTTGGTCTGTGACTACCCTGGGCGTGGGCGGGGCTCCGGAACGGCCAGGCAGCAGCATTTCGGGGGCTGGGATGTTGAAGTACAGCCATGAGGATCCCCCTGCCCAGGCTTCAGGAGCAACCAGTCCTTACTAATCTGCAAAGTCACTTAAGATTCAAGCTAAGGCCCCAAGGACGGAATCCAGGAAAAGCCTGATGTAGCCAGAGGACAAAGGCAGGGGAAGCACATGGGGCTCATCTCTGGTACAGAATGGAAACTGAAGTTTGTCCGAAGCTAGGAAATGTGGGAGTCCTGATGGAGGCTTGGGCTTGGGGGCCATGGTGCACAGACAAAGAAGGCAGAGGAAACACGGCCTCTGCCCCTCCCCAACGCCACGGTCCCAGGAACACGGGATGCCTTGGATGTAACGCTTGTCCATCCGGCTCCCGATGAGCAGCACCAGGGCCCAGCTGGCCCTTGAGGGGAAGGATGGGTGGGGGGTAAGAAGAAGCGGAGCTGAGGCTAACAGAAGTGTTTGCTAGAGATGTATTCCTGGGGGCTCTGCACTTGCGTGCCGCTGTCCCTCCCTGACCCCTGTTCCCTGCTGCCTTCTTGTTGCCATCCCTGTCCCTGCTGGGAGGCCCTGTCTGCACCCATGTAGCTCAGAGCTCTCTGGGGATGATGGAGAAGGGGAGCACGGGGCTGCTGGACTCCAGCTCCAGTGCTGTGAGGAAGCAGTCAATGGCAGCCTCATTCTGGCCCTGAGCCTGCAGAACCTCACCCAGGCCCTGCCATGCTTCGTGGCAGGTGCTCTGTCTTTCGACAGCGTCTCGAAGAACCTTCTGGGCTAGGCTCTTGTGGCCCAGCTGACTCAGCATCAAACCCTGCAAACCAAGCACAGGACAGGGTTAGTGAGGGCCTCCTCGCCAGGGGGAAAGGGGAGGAAACACAGGAGAAGCTTGTTTGCTGGCCACCAGCTGAGAACTCTGGGGGGTCTTGCTCGGGCACTGACAAGTCCCCATGCCCCATATCCATGCAAACCTGTTTCCGCGCAGCCTTCCTATTTGCTGCAGAAGCTGTTCCTCTTAACCCCAAGGGACAAGGCTTCAAGTCAGGACTTGGCTTTGAATTATCCTAGCTGGGAGATCCTGGGCAATCACAGCCCTCTAGTCCTCAGCTTCCTCTGCACATGATGGTATTATAGAATCCTCCTCTAGAGCTGTGCTGAGGAAATGAATCAGTAGGTGAAGGACAGTGGAGAGGACCTAGTGGGAGAGAGGTCCCAGTGAAAAGCCCCTGCTGCCTGCAGCCTGGAGCTGCCCCTCATCCTAGGGCCTGAGCACTGCATCCCCACGTACCCAGCCCAGCCTGGCAGATGAGGGTCATGGGAGGGAGTGACATGGCCAGGGTAAGAGGTAGTGGCTAGGTGAGAAAGTTGGATGGGCTCAGGGTTGAAAGGCCCTGGGATCAGGAGCAGGCAGGAAGTGCAACCCTGAAGTTTGAGATAGGAGAAGTGACAGAAACTATTAAGGGGGGGGGGAGGGCGCTGGGAAGTAAAACAGGGACTCTGTACCAATCCTCCCACCCATACTGGGGAAGGAGCTGGGGACTGAAGCAGGCCTCAGTTCCCAGAAAGTCTGCTTTGTACCTTTCCCACCAATCTTTGTTCCAGCTTCAAAGGCAGAACAAGATGGCAGAGCAGGAGGGCTCTCCTTTTTTTCTAAGACAAGAGGTAAAGTTCCAACAGTGACTACCAGGGCAGGCAGAGATAGGGGAGAGGGGAGCAGCCAGGGTGGGGGGTGGGGAGCTGCCTTCTGGAGTCCCCTCTCTGCTGCCCGCCTACTGATGGCCATGTACATTTTTAGCTGGATCATTTTCCTCCTCTCTTAAATCCCCAGAGCTAGGCCTTTGGTTGCTATGGAGATGCACCAGGAAAGATGTGCATGCCTGATTTCATAAAGTTCTCCGAGATCTTGGAACATGACCAATTAGGCGAGAGAGAAAGATGGCGCTCAGGAAGCCTAGGAAAAGCTTATCTCTAGAGGTGCTGGCTGGAGATCCGGTGGCCAGGGGGTGGAGGAGAAGAGGAACTGTACTCATGGCAGCCTCACTTGACCTTGGGCAAGGCCACACCCAAGGACCACAAGCGGCTGTGGAGTGGGGGCGGGAAGGGGGGATGGGAGGGAGAGGGAAGGGTGGAGCATTGGGCAGGGGCCTGACTGGCCAGATGCAAGCAGCGCTGAGTCAGGGCTGTCTGGGATCAGGGGCAATGTCTGCCTGGCCAGCAGGGATCCAGGCCAAGCTTATTCTGCCCACATGGCCTGAGCCAGACCCTGTGCACATCACAGTGGAACAGGGCCCACAGGGAGGAGGGAATGAAGGCTGGCAGATGGCTGCCAGGCACTGAAATTAAGCACCAAAAATGGAAGGTTTGAGGCCGTGAGGGCTGCCCAAAAGGAGCAACAGAGGACAGAGGAGGGCCAGCAGGGCTTCCAGAGAGGGCTGGCCCAGAGTGGCCTCTCCACTCAGCTGCTTTTATGGGGCCTCCATGCACATGACACTTTGTTGGAAGGAAGAATTCCACTGCTGAGACTAAGTTTGAAAGCCCCTGATCCTGTGGGTGTTTGGGAAGGGTCCAGATGTATGTGCAGGCTGAACTCTGTGTGTGTGTGTGTGTGTGTGTGACTGTTACCGCGGAAGGTTTGTAGTGACCCCTGAGCATGCCTACATAGTGTAAAAAGCCCAGGACTTGGCAGCCAGATACTGTGGATGGACTGAAATGCCAACTCTGCCCCTGGTAAGTACTGTGGCCATGGCAAATGGCTGACTTCTGAGCTGTGGTGTCCCTATCTGTAAACCGGGCATGGGGACAGACTTTCCTTGTAAGGCCTGTAAGTTCAGGCCTTGTAAGGCCTGGACTTGAAAACCTGTACCCATGGCCATGGGGAGACAGATGGTAAATGGGCAGTGTCTTCAGGATAAACTAAGGGTCTTTTGGGACGGGGAGTACTGTTGGCTCTAACTCCAGGGTGCTGACCTTAGAATCTGAAAGGAGACACCAGGCCAGGCCAGGGTCAGGCTGGGGCCCAGAGGCTCAGGACTGTAACAGGATCTGCAGCCACCTGCCCCGGACACCAGCAGCCTTCATGTTTGGTAGCAACTTGGAGCTGTTTGCTGCCTGACAACTGGGTAGGCCCCAACTCTCAAGATGCAAGGTCTCACCTGCTCTGCCCTCAGTCTGGTACTGTACCGCAGCCCAGCACTACACTCCCAGAGCCCCACCCGCTGGAACAACAGGTCTTTAGGGATATGGCAGAACTGGTGTCTCAAGGTCCCCGCTGGATCTTTCCTGTCCTTTATCTGCCTCAGAGAGGCTCTCAAGTTTAGGTCCTCCCTTTGGCTGTCTACCCACGGGGATCAGATAGCTGTGTGTAAACTGTCGACCGCCACTGAGCACTGAACCTAGGCTGATCCCAGCCTCCGATACAGTTTTAGGGGAGGGATCAGGCTAGGAGGGAAGTACTCAGAACTTTCATCTTCAACTTTCGGCTCCCTGCCTGGATCTCAGGGGAGGGGCACTTGGCCCCATTGATCTGTCTAGATGACAGCCCTTTACCCATACAACTTCCTAGAGTTTTACTTGGCTACTGTAAGGCTATTGTGTCCCATCTTTGCCCTGTGCCTCAGGCTGAGAAGAATCGGGCTCCTGACTCCTGCCTGCGTTTCTGTTCTCCACAGTGCAGCAGTTCATTGTTTCGTGGGAAGGTCCTGGACATGGCCATTGCTTCCTGACCTAGACGTGCCTACCTGGATGTTCTCCAAGGAGCGTACTTAGCAAGTCCTGCTTCTTAGGAGCAGCGAGGTGGACAGTGAGAGACCCAAGGCCCACTGAGGCCTGGTCCTCCAGTCTGTCTAGAGACTCCCTGTCAGGAGCAAGGTTCTGCAGGAGGGACAGAGTGTGGTAATGGCTCTAGTGTGGGTGGGGAGGAAGGGTCCTGCTATCTCTTTTTTTTTACACTTGCTACTGCGATTGCACCCCACCAACTCAGCACCTTACAATGTCCCCCAAGCAGGCAGGACATGATGGCAGGAGCATCTTTTGGAAGTTCTGCCCTGGGAAGCAGTGCTAGCGGTAGGCCAGCTGTGGGCCAAGCTGCATGTTCCCCACCCCTGCCCTCAAGTATTTATAGAAGTTATTTTGGGAATTTTCTTTCTGAGCTCAAGGCGCATTCCTGGGATTCTGTAACAGTCTTTCGAGCTGGGAAGTAGGGAATCAGCTGGAGGCCGCTGGAGGCCACTGGAGCCTTCTGGTCCCTGGAGTCCCTGTTTAGGAACACAGGAAGATCCTCCTCCACTCATCCTGGAGCAATGCCCATCCAGAGCTGCTCCAGGCTCTCTCAGGTGTGTCAGTCTCAACCTGTCCAACCAGACTGGGGACTGGCCCTTCACATCCACATCCTTCCTGGAGCAGGGCTGCTGTAAAGGGCGACACACAGGCAGGCCCTACTTCTCTGTTGGGAGAGGAGGCACAAATCCTTCCAGACCCACCAGACAACTGGCTAACATGTTGACCCCAGGGCTTCCTGGGCTTTCAAAGAGGCTCTTCCTTAAGCTTGCTACTCACTGGGAGCCCAGCTTAGCTAGGGTCTTCCAGCAGAGCAGGCAGCTGTGCCCAGTGGTGCCGACACCATACCTGTCCCTAGCTCTTCCTGCATCCTTGAGAAACCAGATGTTTGAGACCAAAGTTGGCCCCTTTGGCCAGACTAGAGATGTCTACCTTCAAAAGAGCAGGGTTGGGCTGAGAGGCCAAAGCATTGCTTGACTAACAGGTGCTCACATCTAGGGACTCTGAAGTCTGTGGACCACCAGGAAGTGGACTCCTTTTCCAGGTCTGGATGGGGCTGGCCTTGACTCATAATGCTGGACTAGTCAGGTTCTTGGCTGGCTGGAAGCTCTGCCCATCTAGGAGAATAGCCAGCCCTCAGGGTGAGGGCAGAAGGTTGTAGCTGGGCTTCGTGGTCCTGGTTCTAGAGGTGAGCCCTTGCAGTGGGGAATTAGAGGGGGGCCCAGTTGTAGGAGCTGCCCTCTCTGAGTAGGAAGCTGAGCCAAAAGGGAACAGGAGGGCAGTCTGGAGGAGTAGCCCATTGAACAAGGGGTTTAGCACTATACCGCTAGACACAGCAAGACAGAGTCTTTGCAACCCTTAAGATTCTGAAGCTAAATTAAGTGCTCAACTGTCACTGTGATCTGAACCAGTGCCTGTCCAAGGGTAAGGGAGGTAAGAGAGGGGCCTCTGAAACCCCAGCAAGGCTGATGTTGGGGGGTATATCTTGTAACCTCCCCCCTCCTGGGAACCTGCAGAACCCCCCACCTCCCACTTCCGCACCACACAAGGAACACACTCAGGCAGTACTGATGAGGGGTGAAGAAAGACATCACAACACAACAACCTTGCCAGGAAGTCAGAGGGCCCAGACATTCTTATCAGCTGGCTTGCCACACAGAAGCAGTATTCCACCTAGCGGAGCTACAGGGGCAGAAGGAGCCTCCAATCTCCCCTCCTGCTGCCCAGCCCCCTCAGCCCCCCTCCCCGGAAGATTTCCAGGTTCTCCCTCAGACCACCTGTCACAGGACACGAAACGGAGGAGCCCGTACAGGTGGCACATCTTGGACCCTGGAAATGCATGGTATATGCAGGTGAGGCATATAGGCTCAGGGACCGGAGACTGCTGCTCTGTCCACTGCCACCCACTGCAGCATCGGGGACCTCCAAAATGCTGAGCACTGAACTTTGCTTTTTAGCTGCTCAGGATACCATTACCATTCCTCCTTAAAGTCAACAAACAGATGGTGAGCCAGCCTGGCACAACCATAGGCCAGAGCA